ATCAGTTCTTCTTTAAAGGTCTGATAGAATTCAGCAGAGAATCCATCAGGTCCTGGACTTTTCTTTTTGGGGAGACTCTTGATTGCTGCTTCAATTTCATTTTGTGTTATAGTCTATTCAGGTGATTAATTTCCTCTTGGTTCAGTTTTGGATGATCATATGTATCTAGAAATCTGTCCATTTCTTTAAGATTTTCAAATTTATTTGAATATAGGTTCTCAAAGTAGTCTCTGATGATTTCCTGGACTTCCATGGTGTTTGTTGTTATCTCCCCTTTTGCATTCCTGATTCTACTAATTTGGGTTTTTTCTCTCCTCATTTTAGTCAGGTTTGCCAGGGGTCTATCGATCTTGTTTATTTTTTCAAAGAACCAACTTTTTGTTTCATTAATTCTTTGTATGGTTTTTTTGGTTTCTATTTCATTGATTTCAGCTCTTATTTTTATTATTTCTCTCCTTCTATTTGTTTTGGGATTTGCTTGTTCTTGTTTTTCTAGGAGTTTGAGATGTATCATTAGGTCATTGATTTGGGATCTTTCAGTCTTTTTAATATATGCACTCATGGCTATAAACTTTCCTCTCAGGACTGCCTTTGCTGTGTCCCATAGGTTCCGGTAGGTTGTGTTTTCATTTTCATTGACTTCCAGGAACTTTTTAATTTCCTCTTTTATTTCATCAATGATCCATTGTTCATTAAGTAATGAGTTATTTAGTTTCCAGCTGTTTGCATGTTTTTTGTCTTTACTTTTGTTGTTGAGTTCTACTTTTACTGCATTGTGATCAGATAGTATGCATGGTATAATTTCTATTTTCTTATATTTGCTGAGGCTTGCTTTGTGCCCTAGGATATGATCTATTTTGGAGAAGGTTCCATGGGCTGCTGAGAAGAATGTATATTGTGTAGAGGTTGGATGAAATGTTCTGTAGACATCAAGTAGGTCCATTTGATCTATTGCATATTTTAGATCTTGGATTTCTTTATTGATTTTTTGTTTGGATGGCCAATCTATTGATGATAATGGGGTGTTCAAGTCTCCCACAACCACTGTGTTAGAGTTAATATATGCTTTTAGGTCTTTCAGGGTATGTTTGATGAAATTGGGTGCATTGACATTGGGTGCATACAGGTTGATGATTATTATTTCCTTTTGGTCTATTTCCCCTTTTATTAGTATGGAATGTCCTTCTTTATCTCGTTTGATCAATGTAGGTTTGAAGTCTACTTTGTCAGAGATAAGTATTGCTACTCCTGCCTGTTTTCGGGGGCCACTGGCTTGATAAATCTTCCAGCCTTTCATCCTAAGCCTATGCTTATTTTGTCGGTGAGATGGGTCTCCTGTAAGCAACAAATTGTTGGATCTTCCTTTTTAATCCATTTGTCTAGTGTTGCCTTTTGATGGGTGAATTAAGTCCATTAACATTAAGTGTTAGTACTGATAGGTATGTGGTGATTCCTGTCATTTAGTTGTCTTAGTTGTTTGAAGGTTTGATTGTGTGTACCTAAGTTGAGGTTACTCTCTACTTTCTTGCTTTTTCTTTTCCTGTGGTTTGGTGCTGCCTGTCCTTTCATGGTTATGCTGGGTTTCACTTTCTGTGTGCAGAATCCCTTGAAGAATCTTTTGTAGTGGTGGCTTTGTGGTCACATATTGTTTTAGTTTCTGCTTATCATGGAAGACTTTTATTGCTCCATCTATTTTGAATGATAGTTTTGCTGGGTAGAGTATCCTGGGGTTGAAGTTATTTTCATTCAGTGCCTGGAAGATCTCACCCCAAGTTCTTCTTGCTTTTAATGTCTCTGTTGAGAAGTCTGCTGTGATTTTGATGGGTTTACCTTTGTGTGTTACTTGTTTTTTCTCTCTTACAGTCTTCAATATTCTTTCCTTAGTTTCTGAACTTGTTTTAATGATGATATGTCGTGGGGTAGTTCTATTTTGATCTGGTCTGTTTGGTGTCCTGGAGTCCTCTTGCATCTGTATGGGAATATCTTTCTCTAGATTTGGGAAATTTTCTGTTATTATTTTGTTGAATATATTACGCATTCCCTTCGCTTGCACTTCTTCTCCTTCTTCAATGCCCATGATTCTCAAGTTTGGTCTTTTGATTCTTGCATTTTCTTTTCACAGGTCTTAAGTTGTTTAATTAATAGTTCTTCAGTTTTTCCTGTTATTACCATTTCATCTTCAAGTTCTGAGATTCTGTCTTCTGTTTGTTCTATTCTGCTGGATTGGCCTTCTGTTTTGTTTTGCAGTTCTGTTTCGTTCTTTTTTCTGAGGTTTTCCATATCCTGGGTGGTTTCCTCTTTAATGTTGTCTATTTTTGTCCTGAGTTCATTTATCTGTTTATTAATCGTGTTCTCTGTTTCACTTTGGTGTTTATGCAGTGCTTCTATGGTTTCCTTTATTTCTTCTTTTGCTTTTTCAAATTCCCTATTTTTGTTGTCTTGGAATTTCTTGAGTGTCTCCTGTACATTTTGGTTGACCCTATCCAGTATCATCTCTATAAAATTCTCATTGATACCTGTAGTATGTCTTCTTTTAAATTATTCTTGTGGGCTTCATTGGGTTCTTTGGCATAGTTTATCTTCATTTTGTTGGAGTCTGGATCTGAGTATCTGTTTTCTTCATTTCCCTCTGGTTCCTGTACTAATTTTTTGCTGTGGGGAAACTGGTTTCCCTGTTTTTTCTGTCTTCCCGTCATTGTCCTTGGTGTTGTTACTGTCCCTGTACTGTGTGCAATTAAGTATTTTCTAGCTTGTAATAATAGCAATGGTAATATTTAGAATGGAAGGGTGAGAGGAGATGGAAAGCAAGAAGTTAAAGAAAAGGGAAAAACAAATAAACAGACAAGTAGGAAAAAACAAAACAAGGAATCAAACAAAAAAGTTTCAAAGGTATAAACAGGGAGTGTTAGTGTACTAATCGACAGTAAGCTGAACAGGCATTAGAGAGACAGAAAGAGGATTGAAAATAAAAAATAAAAAGAATAAAGATAAGAATAAAAATAAAAAATAAGTAAATGAAAGAAATATATATATATATATATATAAAATAAAACAAAATGAAAAATAGAAGGAAAAAAACCTCCAAGTTCAAATGCAATGAAGTTTCAGTCTTAATAATTTTGGTGTCTGTCTCAGTCTCGAATCCTGGAGATCATGCCTCAGATGTTGTTCTGTAGTTGTCTCATCGAAGGGGATGCATAAAGTAGAACAAAACTGCACACACACAAAAAAAACCCCACAAAGTATCCCAAGTTCAAATGCAATACAGTTTCAGTAAGTTTTTCAGCATGCAGGTGTAGTTCAGTTGTTTTCTTATCAAAGGTAAGGAGAGAGGAAAAAAAAGCGTCTGGATACAGTTCTGAGAATGGTATCTGCGGCTGTGGCTTGCCTGCCCGCTGCTGTCAGCCTGCTGTTGCTGGAGGCGTTATTTATGCAGATCTCAGGAGTGAGCTTAACACTCACCTGGCCCTGCAGGCTTTGTTTACTCAGAGTTCTCCTGTGCACAAGCCTCTGCTACAAGCTTTTCCCTTTCCAAGCACACTGGGGGAGGTAACACTGCACCTGCTTTCTCAGGCCTGCATGTTTGTTTACAGCTCACGTGGGAAGTGAGTCTTCCCCCCATCCTGTGGAGTTTTCCTCTCTCTGCCACTCTCACAAGTTTTCCTGCTCCTGAGTGCTGGGCGCGCACCCCTGCTCCCACCGGAGCCTCTCCGGCCTGCCCGGCTTGTTTCTTTACAGTTCCAGGAAGGATTCCCTTCCCCCGCTCTTCAGCGCCCAGTGCACCCCACCCTCTTTCCCATGTGTCTTTATTGTTCTTATTGCTTACTACTCAGTTTCTCTTTTTTCCCTGGGTGGAGGTCGATCTGTCCAGGGAGTTATGCTGATCTGGCCCACGGTTGTCTGTGGGAGTACTGCAGTACCACTAAGCTCACCTTGTCTGCATCTTCCCAAGCCTTCTGGGCGCAGGTTACTGGAGGCCCAGGGGCCCTCCTGGTTTCTCTGTTTAACATGAAGTGGAGATTCTCTGCGCCAGCTGGAGTTGTGGAGGGGTCAGTTTTGCCTCTTCTTGGTGGTTTTGCCTGCAAGGTGTGTCTCCAGTGTCTCTCCAAGATTTCACTATAGGAGGCTTGCTTTCTGATTCCTCCCTCTAGCCGCCATCTTGGAATTCCCCGTGACTTATTTTTTTCATCTTTTACAATGAACTATGAGTAAGTATCATGAAAGAACTGTTTTGGTTACCAGTTTTTCTTGAGCATGCCTGGTACAGAAGAGGTACTCAGTAAATACTTGTTGAATGAATGAAAAAGGACACAATTTAATGTAAAAAATGTTTATTTCTAGCTATAATATACACACTAACTTTTATGGGACTTCTCTAAGATCACTCCTTCTATACAACATATAAAAAACATTGATCATGTATATATGGTTCATTATGCCAGCTGCCCATAGTCCTGCCAGTTAGTTCAATATTAATCATGACCTGTAGGTTGAAGCTAAGAGTAATTAAGATAATTCAAAACACTAAACAACCAGAAAAAAAAATTATCAAGATGAGTGGAGTCTCCTTTGCCCTGTGGTTGCAAGCCTAGAGCCTGGGCAAATCATTCTGGTGCAAATATGGTATTCACATCCTTAAACAGGTATCATGAGTTTCTTCTCTGGCCAATGTGATAGGTCTGTGCCCCACTGTTGTCCATTGGTTCTCTTCCTTTAAGATGTTCTGTGTGAGTTTTGCAAGAAATGCTAAACAGTTGGGTCAAATTGCAGTTTGTCTAGCGTTTGTGACTGGTTAGTTATACATTCCTTAAATCTTAAATTGCAAAAATTACAAATCTTTTTAAGTGTTTATATTTTCTCTCTTCATAATTTATCTTGATACTTCTGGGTTTCTCAGCCCAGGTTGCTTTTCATTTACTTATCATTAAAATATCTGTTTTCTTGGCTTTTCCCAAGTTAAACCAATTTATTGACTTAGTTTTTTAATTCTGACTCAGCAGATCTGAAGTGGAGTCTGAAAATTTCTATCAGCTGCTGGTGGTGGTCTGGATAACACACCTTGACAACTGCCACTCTTGACTTGGTCTGCACAATAGAGTCATCCAGAAGTTTGTTTTAAAGGACTAGTGCCTGAAAACACCACCCTTGAATTCCTTCAACCAATTGTAGCAGAGTCTCAGGTGTGGGATCCAGGTGATTTTAGTGTTTAGCCAAGTTAAGAACGTCTGTTCTAAGCATCCAGAATATTTAGCCCTTGCAATTCAGCAGAGTACCTAATGGTGGGTTTTCATCAGTCTCATATCAATAATTCTGGTGGAAATGGTTTAAATGCAGGTTAAAAATTTGTACTATTCTTCCTACCTATTTCAGGCAAGCAAGACAAGTTTGAACCACTGCTAGTCTATTTTCATACTCTCTGAGAGCTAGAAGAATTAGTCACCCTAGTCAACTATTTGCTTCCAAGTCCCCCAAAGCTCTAGACTTGTGGCCCAACAGTTTGAGCTCCAAAAAAAAAAAAAGGTGATGATTTAACTAATTTCTTTGTTACAAAGTAATTAAAGTGGCTAGCTTCCAAGATACAAATGGGGCTTCCTGTTCCCCAATTGACCTCCACTTATTTAGTTTCTTTTTTTTAAGTTTATTTGCAAAATTCTGCTATGGAAACCAATTTCTGTGTTACTAAAGACTCTGGTTTTAAGTTATAAAAACAAAACTTTCACCAAGTTAAGCACAAAGGAAAATTATTATAAGGATTAAAAGTGTATATCACCTAGTTAGAAGCTGCTGCTTATTTCATAATAAGAATTACAATTGCCTGTGAAATGAGAGTATTATTTGGGACTGCAAAACTATGAGAATAAATGTCAAGCAGTTTTAAGTTCATATTGAAAACTATTTTATATATAGTATTTGTATAAAATTATATACATAATTGGCTATGTGATTTCAATGATAAAATATAATGCTAAAATATTTTTTTTTCCAGGGAATAAATTTGAAGTTTTGACATGAATGAACAAGTAACTCTACCTGAAATGATCAAAGACTGGACCAAAGAGCATGTTAAAAAATGGGTAACTGAAGACCTCAAGATTGATGAGAAATATGGGCAAATTTTGTTTAGTGAAGAAGTAACAGGATTGGTCCTGCAGGAATTAACTGAGAAGGACCTTAAGGAAATGGGACTCCCACGGGGCCCAGCACTTTTGATAAAACGTACATATAGCAAATTAAGTAATAGTTCCCCTGAAAGTGACAATCAGGATTCTAGACAATTAGATCATACAAAACCTTCCAAAAAAGACCACCAAAAAAAGCCAAAACAGACAAAAAATGAAGAGGAAAAATCAACATCATTCAATATTGATCATGATGTCAGAGAGATCAGGGATACCTACAAACAAGAATTGATTCTTATGAAAGAAAATGCATTAACTGAAACAAGTGAAGACAAGGAAAAGAATAAACTGAAAACTGAACAGTTGACTTGCATGACATACCCATTTGATCACTTCCATGAGAGCCATCGCTACACAGAACATCATATTCTACAACCTGAAACAGGACCACTCAATCTCATTGACCCAATACACGAGTTCAAAGCTCTCACAAACACAGAAAGAGCCACAGAAGAGGACATTAAGATGAAATTTACCAACGAAGTCTTCCGATTTGCATCAGCTTGTATGAATTCACGCACCAATGGCACCATCCATTTTGGAGTTAAAGATAAACCTCATGGAGAAATTGTCGGTGTGAAAGTCACCAGTAAGAATGTCTTCATTGACCACTTCAATCTAATGATCAAAAAGTATTTTGAAGACAGTGAGATCAATGTAGCCAAGAAGTGTATTCGGGAGCCAAGGTTTGTGGAAGTCCTACTGCAGAACAATACACTATCTGACAGATTTGTCATTGAAGTAGATGTTATTCCCAAACATTCTGTATGTAAAAAAAAGTATTTCTACGTTAAGATGCAAAGTTTTACAGATAAAACATGGAAACAAAGCCAAGATCATTCACTGTTTGTGAGAGAAGGAGCTAGCTGTAAGAATATCCTGGCTAATGCAAAGCAACGGGATATAAATTTCAAAGAATTTGAAGACAATTTAAAGTCATGGATAGCATGTAGAAAACAGGCAGAAGAAGAATATAGGATGAAGGCACCTAAGAAAGAGAGTGAAGGACTGAAGTTGGTTAAACTTCTCATTGGAAACCGAGATTCACTGGATACCTCCTACTACGATTGGTACATTCTTGTAACAAACAAGTGTAATCAAAATCAAATAAAGCATTTAGATTTTCTAAAGGAAATTAAATGGTTTGCTGTGTTGGAATTTGATCCTGAATCTCAGATCAAGGGAGTGGTCAAAGCTTACAGAGAAAGCCGAGTAGCAAACCTTCACTTTCCGAGTCAGTATGAAGAAAAGACAACAACCATAGGGGAGAAAGTTTCTACTCTGAAACTTTATGAGCAGCCCAGTTGGATATTCTGCAATGGCAGATCAGATCTGCAAAATGAGTCATGTAAACCTCTGGAACCACATTTGTGGCAGAGAGATAGGGCATCTGCAATTAGGAAACTGATCTTATTTCTCACAGATGAAAATATAATGGCAAGAGGGAAGTTTTTGGTGGTGTTTCTCTTACTCTCTTCAGTGGAAAGCCCAGGAGATCCATTCATTGAAACTTTCTGTGCTTTCTATCAAGCTCTCAAAGGAATGGAAAATATATTGTGTATCTGTGTCAACTCGCAGATTTACCAGCGATGGAAAGATTTGCTACAAACACGACTGACAATTGCAGAGGAGTTAGCAAACCACAGTACCTCCAATTTAAATATAGATCTGGTAAACAGTACTATCCTTAAATTGAAATCAGTGACTCAGTCATCAAGAAGGTTTTTGCCCTCCTATGGATCTTCCTCAGTTATCCTAGAGAAAATGGAAGAGGACATATTGACTGCACTGGAAATCCTCTGTGAAAATGAGTGCAAAGACACAGACATAGAGAAAGATGAATCTAAATTCTCAGAGTTTAGGAAATCAAAAGAAGAACACTTTTATCGAGGTGGCAAAGTATCTTGGTGGAACTTCTATTTTTCTTCTGAAAGCTATTCTTCAGCTTTTGTGAAAAGAGACAGTTATGAAAACCTTAAGCATATAATAGAAGAATGTGCAGATTCTCCGAAACCAATATTCGCAAAAATCATCAACCTTTACCATCATCCAGGCTGTGGAGGTACTACATTGGCTATGCATGTTCTCTGGGACCTAAAGAAAAAGTTTAGATGTGCTGTGCTAAAAAACAAAGCAACTGATTTTGTAGAAATCGGAGAACAAGTAAGCAAGCTGATCGCCTACAAGGTAACCAACCACCAGGATTACATACCTGTTCTTCTCCTCGTGGATGACTTTGAAGAACAGGAAAATATCTACATTCTACAGAATACCATCCATACCTTTTTGGCAGAGATAGGTTTGCAATATGAAAAAACATTGGTAATTATCTTAAATTGCATGAGATCCCAGAATCCAGATAAAAGTGCAAAATTGGCAGATAGTATTTCACTAAAATACCAACTTACTCCCAAGGAACAAAGAGCTTTTGAGGCCAAACTGGAGGAAATTGAAAAAGAGCACAAGAACTGTGAAAACTTTTATTCCTTTATGATGTTGAAAGGCAGTTTTGATGTGGCATATATAGAAAATGTAGTAAGGAATATCCTGAAAGAACAGAAAGAAGACAGCAAGGAAGCAGAACTCATTTCTTTCCTGGCTTTACTCAACTCTTATGTTATTGACTCTACAATTTCACTGTCACAGTGTGAACTGTTTTTGGGACTCGCATATACTAGCACACCCTGGAAACCTGAAAGTCTAGAAGACAGGATGGGAACCTATTCTACACTTCTAATTAGAACAGAAGTTGCAGAATATGGACGGTACACAGGTGTGCGTATTATTCACCCTTTGATTGCCATTCACTGTCTAAAAGAACTGGAAAAAAGTTATCACATGGATAAATATCAAATTGCATTGAAGATACTAAGTGAGAATTTATTCTATGATTCTGGAATAGGAAGGGAAAAATTTCAGCATGATGTGCAAACTCTTCTGCTCACAAGACAGCGCAGGGAACATGGAGATGAGACAGACACTTTGTTTTCCCCATTAATTGAAACTCTGCAGAATGAAGAAACTGAAAGAGTCTTGATGGCAGGAAGCAATCGATTCCCACAAAATGCATTCATTTGTCAAGCCTTGGCAAGGTATTTCTACATTAAAGAGAAGAACTTTAACACTGCTCTACACTGGGCAAATAAGGCAAAAAAGAGAGCACCTAAAAATTCTTACATCTCAGATACACTTGGTCAAGTCTACAAAAGTGAGATCAAATGGTGGTTGGATAAAAATAAAAGCTGCAGGAATGTTACTGTTAATGATCTTACATATTTCCTAGAAGTGGCTGAAAAAGCCTCAAAAGCTTTCAAAGAGTCTCAACAGCAAACTGATAGTAAAGACTATGAAATGGAGGCCTGGTCACCACAGAAGTCTCAAAGGAGATATGACACATACAATACAGCTGGTTTCTTAGGCGAAATAGAAGTCGGTCTTTACACTATCCAGATTCTTCAGCTCACTCCCATTTTCCACAAAGAAAATGAACTATCCAAAAAGTCTGTGGTAGAGTTTTTATCTGGAAAGGGGATAAAAACTGACCTAAAAAATGAATATTATTTGGCTCTCAGCAAGTACACACCCTACCTGCAAAATTTACAATTAGATTTGAAAAGGTGCTTTGATTTTTTTCTTGATTATACGGTTCTTCTAAAAACAAGGAATGTCCAAAAAGAAATGACAGAAGTCACACTGAGCAAGAAGGTCAGTCGTTGTTTCAGGCAATACACAGAACTTTTCTGCCACTTGGACTTGAGTCCATTACAGGGCAGGGAGAATCAATTACTCAAAGAGGAGAATTGCAGGAAAAGTCTGGAAGCTTTGAGAGCAGATAGGTTTTCTGGACTCTTGGAATATCTTAATCCAAACCACAAAGAGGCTGGAACTAACATGGAAAATATAGTGAAACATTACACCTTCCTACTTCATCAAAACCCAAACAAACGGTTCACAAAGGAGAAACAAAATTTCATTTTAGCCAACATTATTCTCAGTTGTCTAAAACCCAATTCCAAGTACATTCAACCATTTGACATACTAAAAAAACAGCTCCGAGAAGTCTTGCAACTGGTAGAACTAAATCACCCATATCCATATTCTTATTTCTTGGCCTGCCTCCTATTCTGGCCAGAAAACCAAGAGCTAGATCAAGATTCTAAACTGATGGAAAAGTACGTCTCGTCCTTAAATAGATCCTTCAGGTCGCAGTACAAGCGAATGTGCAGGTCCAAGCAGGCCAGCACACTTTTCTATTTGGGGAAGAGCAAGGGTCTCAATAGACTTGTTCACAAGGCTGAAATAGAGCAGTACTTTAGTAAAGCAGAAAATACAAATTCTGTCTGGCAGAATGGCAAGGTGTGGAAAATCAAAGAGGTCAAAGACCTCCTATGTCGGCTAGTTGGTCAGGCTGAAGGCAAACTAATCTCTATAGAATATGGAACAAAGGAAAAACTAAAAATACCAGTGACCTCTGTGTACTCTGGCCTACTCAGAAGTGGCAGGAACATAGAAAGAGTTTCCTTCTACCTAGGATTCTCCATTGAAGGCCCTCTGGCATATGATATAGAAGTAATTTAAGAAGCTATGTTAATTCAAATGTTCATTCATGTCAGTCTAAGATTGCACTTCTTCTCTACCCTATGACATCTTCTTGACATTATTGGCTTAACTCTAATCACAAATTTCATTTTTGTCTCTCTAAATCAATTAGAAACCTTTCTAGGACATGCAATGTGTCTACACCACAGAACTTAGCATACAGTAGAGGTAGTCATTTAATATTTCAAATATGTATTTTTAGATGAGCATATTTCATTAAGAAGTTGCAATTGGTATCCATTTTTCTCAACATAACTGGTTAAATCTCAATAAATAGGGTTTTAAATTGACTTTTCTTATTTCCCAAATTATCTCTTCACTGTGAATACAGAGATTTAACTAAAGAATATGAAAGCATGTCCCAGGTACATTGACCTCAAACCCACAGAACCACCTTATCTTGGCATCAGTAAAATTTCTGTGGAAGTACTGGGTGTGTTGGTGCACCCCTGTAATACCAGTATGCAGGAGGCTGAGGCAGGAGAATGGCAAACTCAAGGCCAGCCTGGGTAATGAAGCAAGACCCTACCTTAAAAAAAATGTACATCAAAGTTAAATACTTTGTTCCCTACTCTCCTTTGAACTCCTCCCAACACACACACACACACACACACACACACACACACACACATACATACACACACACACACATACATACACACACACACACACACATACATATACACACACATACACACATACACACACACCCGAAAGAAGTCCTGCTTGAATTCTCTCCATTCTCTTGCCGCCTTTCCACATGAATCTGTTCCCTTCGCCATTCTTGTCTCCTGTGCATGTAGCCTATCTCCATCTGAGTTTTAGATCCCATCTCCCTCAGCTTCATTTTTCCATTCACTGTGTTGTTTTGTTCTACTTTTTAACCTGTGCTGGGTGCATGCTGTTCTCTCTCCAAGATTCCCTTATTTTTATCCAACATTCTCCATATAGTTATTCTTATTTGTTCTTCACAACTCAGCTCAAGGGTCACCTCCACCACGGACCTCTTCCCTGACCACCCCAATCCCTGCCTGATTAGATGGTTTCCTCATGGCAATATGCGCTTTTCATATTCCACTACCAGGAATGGCATCTCCGAGCTCAATTCCACACCTACAACAGCCTCAGCAGCTTTAAACATCATTCTAGAGCTTGGAATTTAAGAGCTACCTGATGCCAATAAAAGGAAATACATGCTAAAAGAATATTAAAATTAAAAAATGTTTGTTTATCCATATATTTGTATCCTTCAATGTAACCTAACTGTTCTAAACTTCAGATCCAATTTCTATTGACATTGAAAGGTCCATGCCTTATCAGAGTTCTCATAACCAGTATTTCTGCAAATCTAGGGAATATTCACATGGTCCACAAACGTGCCCCTGGTTCTCAAAGTCATATCTGCTGGAGACTCTACTCCCCACAGCTATTTTCATCTTCTACTGTCCACCTGTCTATCTGGCAACAGATTCTTCCAAGTGGTAGCACTTTCTGCAGTATTCGTAGATTTGTAGACATAGGCCCATCCTGAAATTCTTCAGAATGCAGCTAAAGCCAGGCTACTGCATTTAGTAAGACACAACTAAAGACATGCTACAAAGGGAAAAAGTTATAATGAAAGGAGGAAAAGCTATTAACTGTTTCTGTGAGCCATAACTGTCCTCATATCTGCCCCATCTAGCAGGTTACATAGGGAGCTTCTCTCTCCTTACCCAATTCAACAGCCATGAGGTAGACTTGTCCTTGCTCAGTTCTCCCAAATGAGACATATCCTAAACATATATTCATGACTCAAGTTTAGGCTGAAAACCCTTTGAGGTCCCCAGAAAGAATTTTATGCTGAAATGTCACAATAACCCAATGAGAACTAGTTCAACTTCCTATTTCAGAGTGAAGCCTTTACTTTTTTCCCAAAGAGCTCATTAAAATGATTTATGCAAACCAATCCTGTCCTCCTGAAGAGAAACAGGAAAATTTATAATAGCCTTAAATTCCAGCCTATCCATTTGTATCTCAAAAATACTGGAATCTAATTTCTGCTCAGCAAAGTCTGCTAAAACACAACAAAATACAATTTTAACTAGCTTTTATCTTTAAACAACCTCCCCTTTCTTTTTTCCAAAGTTGTCATCAGGGAAACCTGAAAATAAAAACTATTGCATTGAATATTTACTACTTTGTGATTCTGTGTGTGAATTCTACCACCTGAGGACTCAGTTCTCCTATGTTGTCTCCAGCCAGTTCCACCTACATAGGTAGATTAACATAACTGATAACAGCACAAGGAATGGTTGCACCAGCTGATCTTCTAATTTGAAAATGTTAAGAGTAGGCAGACATAAGTGGGGAAACAGGAAGGCCCCCACCCCCATCTGAAACATTCCAAATATAACAACAACCCTGGGTTTAGGAATAATGAAACCCTCCTAGAGGGACATCTTCATTTCAAAGCCAAACATACACATGCTTAATATAAAGGCCACAGGTGACCACTTCATGACCCTCACAAGTGGCATCAGATAGAGAAAGGCAAAAAGGATCCACCCCATACACCATCTGACCTCACTTTTCCTACTGCCTAGGGGCCTGCCTTCCCACAACCAGGAAATGTGTACCTGCTCTGGCTCATTTAGGCAGAATTAAGGGCAGACTCAAAGGCACCAAGAGACTTCTACTCTCCATTGCCTAGGAAAGGACCCAGCACAACTATACCTTGAAGAAGTTGGATTCTGATCAAATACCCACTTCAGAGGCCTCAACAGAGGCTTACTGTTGAGCAAGTAGGTCAGGCTGTTAACTGAAATTAGACAGCATAGCTAAGATAGTATGGCCCTTGGAAACCTCCACTATGACCTTCCTGTGACCTTAAAGGGTGGAAAGAAAGAAAAGCAAGACAGACCAGAATAAGGACAGTAGGAGGACTAGGGCATGACCAATGAAAATGTTGCAGGCACAGCCAACCAAAATGCTGCTTTCCACACACCAAATTTAACAGAGAAATTGAGTAAGGCCTCAAGATAATGGATAAAAACCTCAGACCATGTCACTTCTTTGGCATCCTCTCTCGGGACCCTCCCCACTCTTTGCTATTTTTCTAGCTCAGTAAGTTCTTACACTTTGCTCACTCTCCTTGTCCATGATCTTCATTCGCTGAAATTTCAGTACAAAGACTGGGACTCAAGCAGAGTACAGCCCTGGAACACTGTCATTTTAAATAAAAATCTCTTCCTTAAATGAACCAAGCCTTGTATGCACATATGAATAATAAAAGAAAAAAAATCTCTTCCTTTTCATAATGAAAGTATCTTTCTCAACTGCACTTTCCTTTCTCTTTTTCTGCAGTTGGGACAGTATTCTAATTTTAGACACTGTATCCAAAGAACTGAAGCCATTAGCACACCATCACATCCATGCACCTCTCCCAACTGGTACCAGAAACAGAGTAAAAACCGAGACAGCTAGTAGAAAAAGTCCATTCTTGGAAAGCGGGTTTAGAATGCAAGCTGAACTCTCCTGGTTAGCCACTGAGTTTACACAGCTGAGGCTAAAAAACCATTTACAAGTATCTGATGAAGATTATACTTCATGTAAATGAAGTCACATAATATGTGGCCTTTTGTAAATGCCTTCTTTCACTTTACATGTTTTCCAGGTTCGTCCATGTTGTATCATGTATCAGTATTTCAATCCTTTTTACTGCCAAGTAAAATTTTATACAGATATATCGCACTTTTTTAATCCAGTTGTGAAGAGTAATTTACTTTTATCAAACACTAAATTAATATTGTTTTATTGACCAGAGTGTAATTTACCTCTAAGATTACTTAGGTCCTCTGGAACTTAAATACTAAATGCTATCTTTGTCACTCCATTTCGGTCATTAGCAAAAAGAAACTTATTACTGATCTTCTAACTAAAGCCCCATTATCTAACCATACAACCCCAATTTCCACAGTTTTATTTACACTTTTTCCCATACACACTTTCACATGTAGGTATGTTGCAATATATCAAGATATATAACTTTAAATAAAAACAACCCTAGCTCAATACTTAAAAAACTATCATTAGAAATAGGAAACAGTTAAATAAAAACAAAACAAAAAATAAACCTATAGATATTTTTAGTTTATTACTCATCTCCACGTTAACTGAAAAAAGACAGTACAGCTTGAGAATTCCTTCAGACAATTTGAATTTTTTTATTTTTTTCATTTTTATTTAAGGAAGAAACCATTATTCCTGATTATTATGTCTTGGTCTGTTTTCTGTTGCTAACAACACAATGCCACCTACTAGTTAAGGTTTATTTTAGCTTATGGTTCTGGTCCATGGCCATCTTGCTAGCAGAGGCCTAAGGTGGTACAGGACACAATATGATGAGTGGCAGGGAGTGTGACAGATCTAACAGGAGTGTCTTTTATCAAAGACTAACTATGGAGATAGCCTATTAACACATTACTAATCCTATGAATGGATTAATCCATTCTTGAGAGCAGAGCCCTAATCACCTCTTAAAGGTCTTGACTGGTCCCACCTCTTAACATCACACAATGAGAAATTTCAACAGTTTGATACCACAGCAGTATCAAATAGTATGAGTGTCAAATATGCTTCTAGAGCCATGTTAGCTCCTACTCACTGTGAAGCCCACACTGTAATATCTCATGAGGAACAGATAAATATGGACCCTTCAGATCAACAAAGCACCTAGAGAATAATCATGCTGCGTTCTAATACTAACAATACATATTTACTCAAAAAATGACTAGATTAACACAGAGGATTAGAAAAAATTAAATTTATGTTAAGGTTGTTATTATTCTAAAGGGATATCTTGTGTACGCATTTGGAAATACCTATGATATGAAATACACTCTACATGTGGGATTTACAATCGTGAATAGTACTAAAAGTTATAAACAGACTCATACAGAGAAATGTAACAAAGAGGGAAGAAATTTCTGAAGAGAAATCAAAAGTCGAATGTCTCTGCTTAATGCTAAATAGTATGTGAATAAATAAAGCATACGCATAAATGCTCTGGGTCTAACCAACCTTTTTAAAAACATTCTGGAATATTATCCCACAGCCCCTACAGGGAAGTTGAGCCTGCCCTGGGAACAGTTGGCAATGTTACTGCAGCTCACAGGGTCCAAGCCAATACCTTGAGGGATACAGGTACCTCAAGGAACCTGGTGTCTCCAAAAGACCTAAGGTATGCATTGACTAAATATTAGCCACAGGAATATCCTACTTATCTGACAGTAATAGGAAAGTACAAAATGTATCATGAGAAAATTTATAGGTCCACTCATAAAGAAAAATGAATACATAGAGAGTTAATAGGCAATATATCCACCAGGTGAGCAGCTATTATTTAAAAGATGTCAACTGTGTGTGGAGGAGTGAGATCTATTCCCTGAGAGGATGTAATATCCATATGTGACACTGGTCATATCCTTTGCCTTGTTCTTTTAGCCAGTTATGTTAAATATGTAACTGCCCACTCAATATGTACAAAGCAGAGTCATTTTGCTGATTCATCGTGGGAATCTGAAGTGAT